GCCTTTTTTTACTCCCAAATATCGGTATCGGCCCCGAAAAACCCATATCGGTCGGGCTCTTGTAATCATTATACTTTTCCGCTATCCGATTGTTGAAGACCATTTTTAGATTGATACCTTCCTTTGCCCTCCTTTTTTCCTCTAACACAAACCAGTCTACCTCAGGCCAATCTAACTTCCAGGAAGCGGTTTCTGGATAAACTACTGTGCAACTTATCCTCGAATTAAAAACTGCTAATTCTTTAGCTGTGTCATTTCCAATCAGTTCTCATTTAGCCTTTTCCCAGATTCCCAGCTCTCCTGTAACATTGCCTTAGTAGGACGTGAATCATTATGTCCTTGTAAACCTGCCCCATAATTGACCATCAACTGCTTCCTTCTTAATTCTAAAGCACATTCTCCTATTTCTACTGTAATGCTGACACTGGGGTAGTTGTAAAAGCTCCACAACACAACCTCGAGGCCTGTGCCTGGATCACATCAAGCGTTTTTAACAGAGATTGAGCTGCAGAACCAAAAACCACACACCCATAATCTAACACCGATCCAATTAGAGACACATATATTCTCTTCATTGATAATCTACTTGCACCCCTCAAACATCTCATTACATTTATTACTCTCTTGCGCTTTTCTTCCATTCTCCTGATATGATCTGCAAATGTCAAACGTGAATCCAAATTAATTCTAAGGAATTGTCCAACTTTCTCTAAATCTCTCCCATACGTTCTTAACTTTAGTCCTTCCTGAAATCTTTTTCCGGTGAAGAAGACTGACTGAGTCTTCTCTATAGAAAACCTAAACCCCCAGTTATAGCCCCACTCCACCACTATATCACTTTCTTCCTGTATTTTCCTAGTAACATATTCCTTCCTTTCTTCCATAGCGCCCCATCATCTGCGAACAAAGACCTTCCTATATCTTCTGGAACGGTTCCAAATACGTCATTAATCATAATAATGAATAGTAATGGTCTTATCACACAGCCTTGTGGTGTGCCACTATCAACTATGTATTGATCTGATAAATCCGCCCCAATCCTTATTTGTATTTTTCTTTCCGAACAGAAAATCTTTGATCCAGTTAAACATTCTTCCTTCAACCCCTATCTTACTCAGTTTGATTAACAACCCCTCCTTCCACATGTCGTAGGCTTTTTCTATATCGAAAAATACTGCAATTACACTAATATTTGCTTGCGCCTTTCTTATTTCAGTCTCCAATCTCACCACAGCATCTATTGTGCTTCTTCCCTTCCTAAAGCCACTTTGACAATTAGCCAGTAATCCTCTTTTTTCAAGGACATAAGTCAGTCTATCCGCTATCATCCTTTCCGTGATTTCACATAGATTGGATGTGAGCGCTATTGGATACTTACCAGGTTTTCTTATTGGAATCACTACCGCTTCTTTCCAAATAGCTGCTTCCACTCCAGTTTGATTAATAACCCCTCCTTCCACATCATGTCGTAGGCTTTTTCTATATCGAAAAATACTGCAATTACAGATTCTCTATTTGCTTGCGCCTTTCTTATTTCAGTCTCCAGTCTCACCACAGAATCTATTGTGCTTCTTCCCTTCCTAAAGCCACTTTGACAATTAGCCAGTAATCCTCTTTTTTCAAGGACATAAGTCAGTCTATCCGCTATCATCCTTTCCATGATTTTACATAGATTGGATGTGAGCGCTATTGGTCTGTAACTAATAGGATTGTTTGGATCCTTACCAGGTTTTCTTATTGGAATCACTAGCGCTTCTTCCCAAATAGCTGGTAACTTCCCCTCCTTCCATATTTTATTATATATCTCAAGAAGCTTCAACAATGATTCTTCCCCTAACTGTTTTAACATCAAATAGCACACTTGATCTTTCCCTGTGGATGTATGTTTAGCTTCCTCTGCTGCCATAATAATTGCTGAAGTTATCTGATTGTTAACATCATCTATATTTCCAGACACCTCAACCACTGCACCATCACTCAAATTCTAACCCTTTCCCAATCAGCTTTCTTCCAATGTCCCACCTACTGAGCACAAGACAGGGTAGTGATCACGTCCCAATGAGTATTTCCAGCCAGCAAACTAGAACTAACGTTATATATAATACAGATTCTTTCCCTGTTGACACATTTAATCTAGTTCCTCTTCCATTATTTAAGCACACCAATTCTCTTTCTTCCATCAATTCTTCAATTACTTTAACATTAGTATCTGGAAGTACACTTCCCCATTAAAATCTGCACACCAGATTATTTTTTGTCTATCTTGCCCTGGTAATCTTAGAAGCTTGTTCAGCTCCAACCTCTAACATTGGTTATGATAATTATTTTAGGCGTTTTTACAGTGTTGCGCATTTTAACCAATCACACACACATCTGTTGAACTTAGGAATGCAACGGCCAATCAGAGGCGTTCAGATGAGTCATCGCTGAAACTCATCAATTTTGAGTGCACGCGCGTTTCGCTGGCTGAATTCCGGTAATAAATGAGGCCCCAGAACACTTTTTCACTGGAGGAAGCGTTATTATGGATTATGCACTCTATGGTATTTTAGTTAAAAATGTCTTAATGCTGGATTTGTTTCAGCTTTTGATGCTAACTGATGGACTGGAGTGCTGTGGATTACTTGTGGATTATTGTGATGTTTTTATCAGCTGTTTGGACTCTCATTCTGACGGCACCCATTCACTTGCAGTGAGACGCTGATGCAATGCTGCATTTCTCCAAACCTGATGAAGACACAAACTCACCCTGATCTGGGATGCTGTGACAGACGGTCGTGTCTCACCTTGACGTCTCCTCCAGGTGTGGCGCGGAGCGCTACAACACCAAACTGTTGTGTTTGTTTGCGCGGCTCACGAATCACCTGCAGAACGAACACAAACCATCAGAGCTGCAGGATCCTCACATTGCTTCAAGACAGCAGCCGTGCATTTGTGTTGTGTTTTACTTTCCATTTATTCATTCATTCTTTATAATTAATCATTTATTATTCAATTTAATCATTTTTAATCTTCATTTTAACCATATACAGAAACTCCGGGTTTATGGGATGTCGCTGTGAAGCAGTTTGGTGTAACGTTACTTGTTGGATTTGTGTTGGTCAGATGAAGTCTGAGCATTGAAACATACACAACTAAGACTGTTCAATAAACGCCGCTCCTTTTTCTCCTGCTTCTGCTCTTCTCTGGCTTGACTCCGTCCGCTCTGGACTGTTAATACAGCTTTAGCAACCAGACAAGACTTGCTGTTAATCTGAGATTTTCTGACCGGATCTAGCGTCTGGGGCTGGATCTGATATTTACACACACTAGTTATTTATTTACAAACCTGTGCTTTCACAAAGTATGACAGATTTACTATTATTGTTTTTTATTATTATTAATGTTTAGTTTTAATTTTGTTTTCATTTTAATTTTAGTTATTTTGTTGTGCATTTTTAAAATTTTATTTCAGTTTTAGTTATTTAAGAACATCGAGTTAAACTACATTAAATTTTCTTATGGCTTTAATTGTACTTTTAGTTTACTATAATGACCCTGGCTCTTTGACATTAATGGAGAATATATATATTCCACTTCTTTGTAGATTTGAATTCTTCTTTTTATCATCAAAACCTTACATCTGTGCATTACAGCTTATATATATCATTTTATTTTATTAGGCCTTTACTATGTTTTTATTGGTATATTTTTAAATATATTATTACTGTAGCTTTAATTATAAAAGCGTCAGAGAGCGTGCGCATGTTCGGTTTTGAGGTCGATCGATAAAACAGCGTTATTGTAACATATTCACCGTTTATACGATTCTTTTAAATCCTGATTGAAGATGCAATGTCTGAGGTGTTTGTAGATTATAGCACTGTATAGATTATAACTGGTTTTGTCAGAGAAAAATACTGTAAAAATATATAAAATATTAAAAAATGTTAATAATAAAAAGTTAAAATCTACAAAACTTGATATTATTACTGCTTCTTATTTATAAAGGCTGATCAAAAATCATAATTATTTTATTCTACAGTCAACATTTTATGTTTAGGTTTATGCATCTTTACTCTGATGGGGGTTAGAAAAAGATATATTCTCCAAATAATATTTTACACATTTATAATATTTTGTTAATAAGAACGACACATAATAACAACAATAATACATATTTATTTATTCATTTTTAATGTTATATTTTAACTCTACTTCTGTAAAAATCTGCTTTATTTCGACTAATTGTACAAAGTTAATGTCATAGAAACTGAATATTCTCCAGGTAATATTTTACACATTTATAATATATGTATATATATTTGTTAAGAACAACACACTTATAATATTATAGTAGTTTATTTTTAATATTATTGGTATAACTCTAATTATAAAAAAATAGAGTTATATTTTGATTAATTGTAGAGTTAGTGTAATAGAAACTGAATATTCTCCAGGTAATATTTTACAATTTTTTTTTTTTTTGGTTATTTTTTGGTATTAAGAGCATTACAGTAATATAATTTATTTTTAATATTATATATCTAATATAAAATAATATATTTATTGTCACTGTGCAGAGTCAACCGAATATTATTTTCAGTTAATATTTGACACATTTATAATACTTTTTGTTTTTCACTTTATAAAAAGGTCTGATAATATATATCTGGGGCCTCACAAGGGGACCGTCTTATTTCGGGGTCCGAGGCATCAAGAAGTCTGAAAAAGCCCTGGATTTCATACGTTAGATTTTTAAAGTGTACATTAAAAATAAAGAACAGCACATTTGTGGATTCTTTCTCTAATAGGTAATTCAAAAAAATGCTATTTTTATTTGTCACAGAAATGTGAAGTTACCAGTTATCATTTATTTTTAAACATTAAGCTCATATATGTTCATGTGTGGAAGAATAATGTGAAAACACTGGCAAATCCAGAACCATTCAATGAAACATATAAACTATGAAGACTGAATTAATCTCAAGTATCAGTGCGGAACGATCACAGCACACGTGTTTACAGAAATAAGACACTTTATTATATAGATAAATCTCTGTCTCTGGGATATAATTTAATGTGAAATCTCATCAAGGCTGTTCTGGAGTGACTGGCACTAAACTGAGGACTACATCTGGACAGTTTTACTCTGGTTTACAGCGTCACATTCACTGGAACACAACGCGTTCACGTCCAGAGTGGATACAGGCATCTTCTCGCTCAAAATGCTAATTTCCTCGTTTTTTAAAAACCCAATTAATTTGGTCATGCAAAAAAACCAGGACGGGTCGCACTTAAAACAGGCCATGATGACGTCAATATTCGCAAAACATATACACCGTACAGCTAATACTGCGCTATTATACAGTAGAAAAGTCTGGTGTAAATCCTGCACAAACACACAGGTCTGGTAGAAATGTTCAGAGCACACGTTACAGAACAACATCGGAGTGATTGTGCATCTGAAGATCACGTTCTGTAGCGCTGCAGCACGCGACTCATGAAAGTGCAAAGTGTTTCTTCAGCCGTGCGTGAGCTCATCAGTCAGGCACTGCAGGGCTCTCAGGAGCTGGTTCAGCTCGCTCTGCACGCTTGCAGGCTGTGAAGCGGCGCTCTCCAGCAGCGTCTGGCCCATGTGTGCGTGCAGCGCCTCGGCAAGCTTCGCGGTGGCCATCCGGACGTTCCCGCTGTTAGAAGAGGAGCCGAGGAGCGTCCAGAAGAGCGGGAGAACCTTCTGCTCCACCAGCTGCGGTCTGCGCGGGTACAGCTCCGTCACCAGCTCTGAGAAACAACACAAACATCACGCTTCCAGCTCCACACACGCTTGAGGAAGTGCAATGACAGAACTTATCAAGTCTTGTTTTCTGAGACACTGATCAAAATGAAGTCAGTTTAGGATTAAAATATAAAACTATTATCTGCCAATGGGGTAGAGCTACATGATTTGAAAAAAAAAAAAAAATTTCTAAATCTAAATTTTTTATTTTTTCAGGTTAAAATTATGATAAAAAAAAATAAAAAAATTATGAATAACTCCAGGATTGTTGTGCTTGTTTGTAGGGCTGCACAATTTGTGCTTAGACATCAAGATGAATAATAATAATTATTAAAGATAAAAAAAGTATAAAACAATTATAAGTATTTAAGAATAAAAAATAAATAAATAATAATAATATGTATATTTTAATAATTTTATAATAATGATACTGCAGGAGGCCTATGACTATAAATCATTAAAAAGGTCTAAGGTTTTATTATAAAATAGTATTTTATGATGAGAAGAATCTGTGAAAGTAATTTCTTGTCAGGAGGTGTGCATGCTGTGCATAGATTTATTTAATTCAAAAGCCTTTGTGACTTCATAATCACACGAAGCCAAACTGTGATTGTTTTTTTATTTCGATTAATTGTGGAGCTCTACAGCGGAGTCAGCAAAATCCACTTATTCAAATTTTTATTTTTTTGTTTGTTATTGATATTTGTTCTTGTTTTAAGCTTAAACCTGCTTCATTTCTCAGAAAACGAGACTTCATATCTTCTTGTTACATCTCCAGTGAATGTGTCTTGATTTAAGAATGTTTAGATATTTGTACTGGAAAACCAGACAGAAATACTGAAAAAGAGATTACATTTTTTGCAGTGATGCAACATTTAATGCCACGACTTTATGGATTTAAGACTTTCTGCTCTGATTGAAGAGTTTTTAAGGCTTATTTTGTGGAAGGGTGAATAAAGAGCTGGACTGACCGGCGACTCTCTCGATGAGGTCCAGCTTGGCTTTCCCGCTCAGATACTGGGCTTTGGAGCAGAAGGGCTGCAGCAGGAGGCTGTTGTCTGAAACACAGCGTCAGAGTCAAACACACTGAAGATCAGCTCAAATCAGTCAGAGCCAACTCAACGCACCGATGTTGTGCATCAGAGCCTGAACGGCTCCCAGCGCCGCCGTGGAGATGCTGCTGTTCTTGGAGTTGAGGTGATTGTCCACGACGGCGGGGATCAGGATGTTGAGCACTGGAGCCAGACTGTCTCTGAGCAGAGCGATGATGGGCTGAAGAGCCTCCAGAGCCCGCAGGCTCACCTTACTGTTGGACTCCTGCAGACGAGCCTTCAGAGCATCAAACACCTGCAGCAGACCATCAGAGTCAGCATCAGCATCATCACCATCATCATTAACATCATCCTCATCAGCAGCATCATCATCATCAACATCATCATCATCATCATCATCATCATCATCACCATCAACATCATCACTACCATCACTATTATCATCATCATCACCATCAACATCATCATCACCATCATCACCATCATCATCACCATCATCAGCATCCTCATCATAATCATCATCATAATCAGCAGCATCAGCATCAACATCATCATAATCATCATCATCATAATCATCATCAGCATCATCATCATCATAATCAGCAGCATCATCATCATCATCACCATCATCAGCAGCATCATCATCATCATCACCATCATCAGCAGCATCATCATCATCATCACCATCATCAGCAGCATCATCATCATCATCACCATCATCAGCAGCATCATCATCATCATCACCATCATCAGCAGCATCATCATCATCATCACCATCATCAGCAGCATCATCATCATCATCACCATCATCAGCAGCATCATCATCATCATCACCATCATCAGCAGCATCATCATCATAATCATCATCAGCAGCATCACCATCATCATCATCATCAGCATCATCACCATCATCACCACCATCATCATCAACATCATCATAATCATCATCATAATCATCAGCATCATCACCACCATCACCACCATCATCATCAACATCATAATCATCATCATAATCAGCAGCATAATCATCATCATAATCATCATCAGCAGCATCACCATCATCATCATCAACATCATCATCACCACCATCATCATCAACATCATAATCATAATCAGCAGCATCAGCATCAACATCATCATAATCATCATCAGCAGCATCATCATCATCATCATCCTCATCAGCATCACCATCAACATCATAATCATCATCATAATCATCAGCATCATCACCACCATCACCACCACCATCATCATCAACATCATAATCATCATCATAATCAGCAGCATAATCATCATCATAATCATCATCAGCAGCATCACCATCATCATCATCATCAGCATCACCATCAACATCATCAACATCACCATCATCAGCATCATCATCAGCAGGATGATCAGGATTACCGGGAATAGGCTGCCGATGACCAGAGCCGGGTTCTCCTCGCAGTCGCACACCAGCTGATCGATGGCCTTGATTCTCTCCCTGAAGTCCTTGGAGTTGAGCAGTGTCTTCATCTGTTTGACGTACTCGCTCCGGTCTGCGAGGCTGTGGACAGCCGCTTTACTCCCCGCCTGACCGCAGTCCCTGCAACACACGGCTGATGAGCAAACGGGAAGCATCACATGAACAGACGTGTGGCTGGCGTGTCATACCTGCTGCCGCTCAGAGGATCACGCGTGAGGGACGAGGTGCGCATCACCCCACTGCCTGAGAGAGAGCGCCTGCCCCGCGCCGACGGAGCGTCCTGAGGCATCTCCCCCAAGCCCTGACACACACACACACACACACGTTTGTTTTTGTGAATTGTGGGGACATTCCATAGGTGTAATGGTTTTTATACTGTACAAACTGTATGTGCTATTGCCCTACACCAACCCTACCCCTAAACCTACCCCTCGCAGGAAACTTTCAAAAAAAAAACTCACTCTGTATGATTTATAAGCGTTTTGAAAAATGGGGACATGGAGTAATGTCCTCATAAGTCACCTTCTCCGTGTAATACCCATGTAATACCCATGTCATTATACAAATTTGTGTCCTCATATGTCACAAAAACGCACACACAGATACACACACACAGATACACACACACACACACACACACACAAAGATACACACAGATATACACGCACACACACACACACAGATATGCACACACACACACACACACAGATATATATACACACACACACAGATATATCTGATGTGTGTTGACAAACTGAACAAACAGCATAAATCGCCCAATTTCACTTCATTTTGAGAGACAGATGCAAACTCTCATTTTTGCAAAGATCCATGCAGATACAGACAGTGCTTCTGAGGAGTTTTGTGAGCTTCTTAATAGCAAATAAACTAGATAACCACAAGCATAACTGTGGAAAATGTAATTTCAATCATTTCAAATTATAATAATTTAAATAATTTAAAATATAATTTAAAAATGACTGTAATGCAATGCATAAAAACAGTGTAAAACATGATGTATTATATAATATTAATATAAATAATTAGATCATTCTAATATGCTGATTTGCTGCCCAAGAAACATTTCTGATTATTATCAATGTTGAACACAGTTGTGCTGCACAATATTTTTGTGGAAACTGTGATACACTACCATTCAAAAGTTTAAAATAAGTAAATAAATTAATACTTTTATTCTTCAAGGCCACATTAAATTGTTTAAAAGTGACAGTAAAGTCAGAAGTTTCGAACGAATCGAGCAAATCAATGACTTGGCAGCAAGCAGGTTGTGCGTTACATGTCTCCTCTTTGTTTCTGCGTTGTGTTAATTTTTCTGTAATGTCTGGCGCACTTCATTATTTTTACCAGTCTTTGGAACATTTTTGTCACCTGCCTCTGTGTGTCTGCGATCATTTTTGGATTGTGGGCGCTGGCTGAGTGCTTTTGACGGCGAGTTGCGGGGCCTGTTGCGCTTCTGCTGATCCGGTGTCTGGGTGGACGTCGTTTTTGTGTGGCGCACGAGCTGCATGTGAACTACTGGACTACTGGTCCTGTGTTGTCCGTTGACTGTTTTGATGTTTACCGGATCTCCGGTTTTCCAGCTTCTGCTAGAGTACTGTCTGGTTAAAGATACGATAAAGCGCTGGCTGGTAGTATTGGCTCTTTGTTTACACGCGAAATTCAACGTCATCTCTCAGCTGACTCGGTGGATTGCAAACTCGGACTGGACTTCACATGCTACGGATCCGGAGCTGTTTTTGATGGATTAGGCTACTCACTGTCTTTTAAATCTGTGGTTTGTAAACACGGATTGGATTCCAATATGTCACGGTTTCAGAGCTATTTCTTATCAGACTGTTTATTGACTTTCAAAGGGAGATTATTTTTGATTTTTGCTGCACTATGTTTGTTTTATTTGTGCAGTTCTGTTGATGTTTTCAATAACTGTTCAGCCCCAGTTGCAGTTCTGTCTACTCCATTTATATCAGGCAGAAGTACATGTTCAACCAGCTGCCTACCATGGGGCAAGCCATTGCCTTTATCATCTCCAGTCATCATCAGTTCAGTTTTTTTGGTTCGTATAATCAGCATTATGGCCTTACAGGACAATTTTTCTGTGCCACCTCAACCTAGTAAGACTGTTAATAAGGACTTTACCATCAAATTGTTCAGACAGAGATGTCTTATCATTCTTTTGTTGTTGATGTCAGGGAATGTTCAACCGAATCCCGGGCCATTTGATTGTTCATTTTCAGATATTTTGGCAAACAAATCTATACATTCATTAACTTTTGACTGTTTTTGTAATCGTAAAGGTCTTGGACTAATGCATTTGAACATACGTAGTCTTCTCCCTAAAGTTGCTGAGCTTACTGCATATGTTCACACTGCAAATCCTGATATTCTTGTCATCTCTGAATCATGGCTTAAGAAATCTATTTCTAATTTTGCTGTCTCAATTCCTGGTTACAACACTTTTCGTCAAGATAGAATTTCTAAAGGTGGGGGGGTTGTTGTCTATTGTAGGGATAATTTACAGTGCTCAGTAATTACCTCAAAATCTGTTGCTAAACAGTTTGAGTTAATACTTTTAAAAATTATTTTATCTAAAACATTTTTTATCACTGTAGCTGGTTGTTATAGACCGCCCTCTGCTCCTGCATGTGCTTTAACTGCTTTAAGTGAAATAATTGCTCCTTACATCTCTTCTGAATTTATTTTGTTAGGGGACTTGAATTGGGATATGTTTGACCCTCCATCATCCTTACAGTTACAACTGGATGCACTTAACTTGTCCCAGATTGTGCAGGCCCCTACAAGATATAATACTAAGACTATGGAATCTGGTTCATTAATTGATATTATTCTTACTAATAGGCCAGAGAGGTATACATCTGGAGTGTTCTGTCAAAGCCTTAGTGATCACTGTAATATAGTCTGTGTTCGCAAGGGCACCACCTTAAGAAATCCTCCGGTGCTCGTTTTCAAACGTTTTTTGAAAAAATTTAATGAACAGGCTTTTTTGAATGACCTGGCTGATATGGACTGGTACAGAATTGGGCTTATTCCTGAAGTTGAAGAGGCATGGGCATATTTTAAATTCTTGTTCAGAACTGTTTTGAACAAACATGCTCCTCTTAAAAAGATTAGAGTAAAAAATCGTCTTAGCCCTTGGTTTAGTCCAGATTTGTCAGAGCTTATTCGCCAAAAACACACTCTATGGCGCAGAGCAAAGATTTCTAATAATATCTCTGACTGGCAATCATATAGGGCTATACGAAATAAATGCACTCAGTCTATTAGACAGGCAAAATCAAGTTATTTTAAACATCATTTGACTGTTAATAATACTGATTCTCGAAAGTTCTGGAATATCATCAAATCAATGGAAAATGAAAACATCTCCTCCTGTTTGCCTACTGTAATTAAATATGATGGTGTTGTTATAACAGACAAATCAAAAATGGTCGATCATTTTAACAAATATTTTGTTAATGCTGGCTGTGCCTTCGAGAATAGTTCCGATACTTCTAATTGTTCCCCTGCCAACTTGGCATCTGTTATGCATTCACCTGTCTTGGGTTCCCCCTCCTTCTCCTTTCAGTCGATACAAGAGACCGAGGTACTTGGGGAATTGCTTAGCTTGGAAATTCATAAATCTGCCGGATTGGATGAATTGGATCCATTATTTTTAAAGAAATCAGCTTATATTATTGCAGCGCCTATCTCTTGCATTTTTAATCTCTCTCTCCAAATTGGTGTTTTCCCGAGGGACTGGAAATCTGCAGCTGTAATCCCACTTTTTAAAGGGGGTGATGACTCAGATCTAAATTGCTACAGACCCATTTCCATTTTGCCCTGTCTCTCTAAAATATTAGAGAAGTTGGTCAACAAGCAGCTTACGCACCATCTGGAGACCTATAATGTTCTTAATCAGGTTCAGTCTGGCTTCAGATCCGGCCATAGTTGTATCACTGCTACACTTAAGGTTCTCAATGACATCATATGTGCCATTGACAACAAGCAATATTGTGTAGCTGCATTCGTTGATCTGGCAAAGGCTTTTGACTCTGTGTTTATTCAATCAATCAAATCCAAACGGGTGTTTTATTTCACACACATACACAGATTATATGACATTCATGTTCTTAACAAACGCTTGACCTCAATAAAGTGACTGAAAAATGTTAATTAACAGGACAGGCAGCTGGGAATGAGAACATGATGCATGCTAAAAAAAAAACAAGATAAACATACTCAAACAGCAAGAGGACACCGATAAACTAATCAAGTAAAAATACAGTTATTTTTGATATTTTAAAGGAAATTTATACTTTCATTAAACAGGGATGCTTTCAATTGATCAGAAGTGACAGTCAAGGTTTTATAATGTTACAAAGATTTCTATTTCAAATAAATGCTGTTCTTTTGAACTATCTATTCATCTGTGAGTCCTTAAAAATAAAATGTATCACGGTTTTCCACAAAAATATTGTGCAGCACAACTGTTTTCAACATTGATGATAATCAGAAATGTTTCTCGAGCAGCAAATCAGCATATTAGAATGATTTCTGAAGATCATGTGACACTGAAGACTGGAGTAATGATGCTGAAAATACAGCTTTGATCACAGAAATACATTACAGTTTAACAGATATTCACATAGAAAACAGCTGTTTGAAATAGTAATAATATTTCAAATTTTTGATTCACTGGTGAACAGAAGAGACTTCTTTCAAAATAATTTTTAAAAATCCTACTGACCCCAAACTTTTGAGCAGTGGTGTACATTTAAAGGGAAACGGCCAGCTGTGTTTGTGAGGGGTTTGTGCACACCTTGATTTTGAGCGTGAAGACGGCGTCTCTGATGGTCGGCAGGTCTTTAGCAGAGACAAACTTCTCCATCATTTTATCAAAGTCACGGTGAGAGGACAAAAACAGCAGCATGCGTCGACCAAAGTACCTGAGAGACACAGTAATGAAAGCATGAAGCACTGAGGGGAGAGCGTGTCAGGCTGCGTGACCTCTGACCCCTGCGCCGCTCACCTGGCCTCCTGAGACGAGTCCTGCACCAGCTTACAGACGGCTGGTAGGATGCGGTCGGTCAGATCTTTAGCTCCAGACAGCAGACGAGCGGCTCCGACCCGCTCCACCAGACCGCTGAGATGCAGAGCCGCACACTTACGCACTACTGAGTTCAGATGACTGTGAACGAAACACATTACAGAATAACATCTCTAACCCTCTATATCAAACTAGTCAGAAAAATACAAATATCTGTAATGGAACAATCAAAGTGTGCATATGTGTTTTTGTTGAGTATCATATTTGCTCCATCAAGCATTTATGGCTCATTTGTGTCCCTGCAGCACAAAAGCAGTGTTAAGTCGCTGGGGTATATTTGTAGCAATAGCCAACAATACATTGTATGGGTCAAAATTATACATTTTTCTTTTATGCCAAAAATCATTAGGATATTAATAAAGATCAGGTTCCATGAAGATATTTTGTAAATATCCTACCATAATTATATATCAAAACTTAATTTTTGATTAGTATTATGCATTGCTAAGAACTTAATTTGGACAACTTTAAAGATGATTTTCTCAATATTTAGATTTTTTTGCACCCTCAGATTCCAGATTTTCATATAGTTGTATCTCAGCCAAATATTTTCCTATCCTAACAAACCATACATCAATGGAAAGCTTATTTATTCAGCTTTCAGATGATGTATACATCTCAATTTCGAAAAATTGACCCTTATGACTGGTTTTGTGGTCCAGGGTCACATATAGTCTGATATAGTGAGAATATGGAGGAAAAAACATGAATCTGCCGCAGAAGCCGATATTTATATGATGAAATTCTGATGCTTGTGATGTAAATCAATGAGAGCTTTCTAACAGTAGAGCAGATGCTGACATAAAATGATCTAAATATCAGTCGTGGCTCTATATCTCCAGTAATATAAGATGAGATTGAAATGCTCCAAACATATAATGCAGTGATTGAGAGCTGAAGAAATAAAGGCTCCTCAGAAGATGTGAGATGTTCTGGAGGCTTGTGAAGATCATTCCTCCGCTGAGGAACAGTGAAAGTAAAGCTTCTGGAAACAAACGCTCCTCAAAAGATCCTGAGGATCAGATTTGAGACTCTAAAACATGATTGATGGAGAATCAAGTAAAGCTGAGCTGCTTCAGTCCAGTAAGTGTTCATCTGGAGATATTACTGCAGTTATTCTGACCTTTACTTGATAAAAAACAGTCAAGATTTGACAGCAGAAACACACGAGAAGCTCCGAAGTTTGTAAACACCTCTTACTTGATAAAAATGTACAAACTCAGACGACAGAAGGCATGCAGTAGATTGTGTACAACAGGTTTTTTTAGAAAGGTTTTGATCGTGTTGATTATTTAGAGGCCATCGAAATTTGCTTATGAAATATGATACAGCGGGTATCATAAAACACCTAATCATAAATCTATAACAGGTCAGGACATCCAGCACAATATTAGAATGAACTTCCTTGCTGCACCCAGCAGCTTCCTAATTACACTTCTGGCTATTCATTACACACACACTCACATGCACACACACACACAC